TATTTCAACATATTGATCACTTCGTTGAGTTTCTAAATGATTTCCTTCTTCCTGGATTTTTCTTGAAACTCAATAAACACACTTCTATCATTTACATAAAAGATTAGATCATATTTATGGCTCCAATTTCTAAACCTAAGATATATGTTAATTAAATACCAAAATTGTAATATGACCTCCAAATATTCCAATGCTTGAGCACCATCTATGAAGATGGCCTTCATATTCATTTGGTGTTTCGTCTTCCGGGATTCGCAGGTTCATTCATTCTTGATCAATTTTATAAAAATCTTCATAAATCATTTCAAGTGTGTCTCATACTTCCTTGGCGGAAATACAATAGAAAACATTGAAGTAATCTTTGGTGCTTATAAAACTTATATTAAACTCATTGGCTTTCAAAATCATTTGCTAAGGTAAAAATGTATATATATTCTAGTTTTCCATAAGTTAAACCTTTTACCATCAGACAATTTAGGTGTGCTCACAAAATTACCTTTATTTAAAATAGAAGTGTTTGCGGTCATCATTCTACATTCTGAGATGATAAGTATTATAAGATAAGTTAGAATATGCTTCCACTTATTGGACGAGAATATGCTTCCTTTTGGAACCTTTGAAAAATGATGTCTAATTAAATAATATTGGTAAAATCTATTGTTTAAAACAATTTTGACACTTGAACAAAGAGTAAGCATAAAATCAAAGTAAATAAGATATCAAGGCACGACAGAAATAAACTAATAACATAAATGAAAAGAGTTAGGGATGAGAAATATGAACATAGGTAATTAAGGTTTGACCTAACCATTTGGCCTACTCCCCTTCCCGAAAATTTCTTCTTGAGAATTTTCACTATAGATGTGAGCTTTTCACAGAATATGCGCAATAACCTTCTCACAACTAAACACAATATTTTATATGAGGTTAATATCATAACCAAACGAGAGCTTTTATACCAGGCACAACACCTAACTAATCAAAGATTTAAATGGACAATCTAACAAGTCAAATGAGAGATTTTACACCACAAGAAACTCACAAATCAAACAAATATTTTAACAAACAATCTCAAAAACCAAACAGAAACTTCCCGCAAGTGATATTCCAAAAGATATAGAAAACCTCTTCCACAAATTACTATATTACACTGCACCAAATTACACTATAAAATTATCACTGATACTTTTAACTAATAAAACATAAAGTCAATTTTAGTTAAACGAAAGAAATGAGAAGAAAAGGAGTAGAGAGTGACAAAGTATGTAAAAACAAGTTTTTTGGTGTAGTGTGAAAGTGAGAGGAAACCTCTATTTATAGGTGAGAAATCTCAATCAAAAAGGAAACTATTTGTGGACTATTTAATGCTCGTAATCAATTAGGTGTTAGGTCTAATTGTTTATGTGCTTCATAAATATGGAAACCCTAATTCTCAAAAAGGAAATCCTATAATGACTAGTGCCTTAATTGATTATGAACGTACTTAATTGATTAGAAAGTTGTAAACCTTGTTCCAATCGATTAGCAAAGGGTCTTAATCGATTAGGAAATGTATATATGCCTCATATATATTTAAGAACACCCTTTATCAATTCCACAAACATTTTAATGGTTCCTCTAACGGTTTAAGGAGTTTTACCAAATTGTTGAGTGTGTGTATTGCCTTAATTGTTTAAAAACCTCTTTAGTATCTTTTAGAAAACTATGATTACTCAGACACGGACAGAGAGAGATTTCACACTTTATTTCTTTAACAAATTCTAAAGCTTCAAGATCCCTTACTTAATATATAAATGATCTAGCATTTCATCTAGTACTTAAATTATTCTATCTTAAGAGACTTTGTAAGGCTTCTTAATATACACTCATTAGAGAGATTGCTTGTCTGAGATTATTAGGGATTCCACTGAATGCTGATTGATATTAGGTGTTGTTTATTGATGAAACAAGTTTAGAAATTGATGAAGATATGTAGTATATGGCTCCTTTCTCTAGACCAATGAGAAGTCATATTCTTAAGACATTAATTCATTAAGCAAAACCTTTGAAAGAGATTATTGCTACGTCCACTTCTAGGAAAAGTCTTTGTGAAGATATCATCAAGATGTTGAATCCTCAAACTGTTGGAGCTTCCTCAACTTAGTATGTTGTTCCTGATTTTGAAAAAGATGATGTGCACGTGGGTCTGATTGAAGATATGTCTAGCTGTAGAGAGATTGATGGTGATGACGACGTAGATGAAACTGCCACTGGTAGTGACTTTACTATTCAATCTCTGTGAATTTCTTAGAAGTTTTCTTGGTTCTTTTTATCGGTATTCAAGATTGATTTGTTTTGTCTGAATTTATTTGTTGATAATGACTCTATTATCCTAGAGAGTCATTCATATTTTAGAGAAATAGAGTATTTAGTTTGTAATTGTGATTTTTGTCATGCCACAAATAATTGGTTCTTGAAAACGCTTAGGAAGGCTGTTTGAGTTAAACTTGGGGGATATCAACTTTAAAGAGAGTCTGTGTTAAAATTTCTGGATAGAATTAGATAAAAGAAACTGAACTAAGAGAGTTCAGATAAGACTGTCGTGTACCATTGACTACTTGAATTTTCCTTTCTTTTAGACTACATGCAACCCTCCATACGTAAGTGGTGTTACACCCAACAGAATTATAAAATTTGTGTTTTGTATTTGCTATTTGTTTTAAATTGTAAATCGCTTTATTCAGATCATCTTGTCTATCATTATATTATTGTGTGAAAATCTTGTTTTTCACCCGATAAAATTTCAAAATAGATTCACCAACCTCTAAGTAACTAAAAGGATTAGTCCATAGATTAATATCATAAATAAAATGTTTATCATTGTAATTAAGTCATTACCATGCTGTTAACTTAATATATTTTTTAGCAAAAGATCAACATAAGGATTTGTTTGTTCACCAATAAAATCTTATGAAGACATTATTCATGTTAAAGTCGCAATTGGCAACATCTAAATATCTGTGGCTTTCTCTGGTTCCACGTGTTTGAATTCCATCGCGACGAATTCCTTTCCATTATTGAAGGAATTGTTTTAGGCGGTTTTTGTAAATTTCATATAAGCCAATTTTTTTGGTTACATGCATATAAGACTATTTGGTATAAAAAAAATTAGTGAATAACATATAGATTCTAAATATTAGTTTCTTTACAGCTCTAATTTTATCGAGTTGATAAGCTGTAATATTATACAATTTAAAGCACTAATTTGGTCTTGCACTGTTACGTGATTATTTTCTTTCTAATTCACTGTCGGCAATAACGTTACATTTGTTAATACTATAAATTGATGAAAATTCTTGAATTATTATAAATTTCTCAAATTGCAATGTAATTTGTCTAAATCATTGTTAATATTAAATGTTGATCGCCCCATATTTGTATTCATAGAAAAAACCAAGAAATACTAAATGCATACATATTGTTAAATTTGAAAGAAAAAGAAAAGAAGAAAAATTCAAATAAGTGGATAACTATCAATATCGTTGCTTGCAATTTCAACATCATTAGTACTTTTAAGGAAAATTGAAGATGATACAAGTGTCTTTCAAAATTCTGGATACTTTTTAGTCCAGAAGTCTCTTGACTTAATTTCAATTTTCAGTTTGGTCACTTAAATAATAAACGTTACAATGTAATTCCATAACAATTGCTCCTTAACAACTTGTTCTGTTATATTAGTTTTGTTGTGAAAATGTTAAGTACGTTGATGTGGCATGCCAATAAGGATTGATGTTCATTTGTGTCTCAGCATATTGCATTATATAAATCGTGTAACCTCATTCTTTGTCCAATGCAATATTTTCACGTTAGGTTACTATTCATCATCTTCTTTCTCCTTCTTCATTCATATGTGAACATGTCAATAAACTCCAGCAACAAATCGAAATAAAACACCCATAGTTATGGGTCATTTGGATCTGTTGTGATAAGAAAGAATATGATGGAATGTTAATGTAAAGAATAATGTGTAATGCGTACTGTTACGAATTTGAATAGTGTCAATGTTTAGAAAAAGTTTTGGGGTTGTAGAAATTACATAAATCAATTGGAGAATGGATGCAATTTTTTCAAGTGGGTATGAGATGAAGTTGTTGATGGAAGAGATTTGAAGATTGAAAGACAAAGGAAGAAAACATTAAAGTTGAAGAATGAGGTTTTGAGCACAAGAGGAATGTTGAAAAATGCAATTTTGTTTGGTATTATTAGTTTAGGGTTTAATATAGTTCTTGTAACAATGTATTTGAAATAGATTTGTGGGCAACACCACATGTAATTTGATGTTATGAATGTAAGAAGGTTTGATTTTGCTTAAATGAAATGGGTTGAATGTTATAAATGTTATCCAATATTTAAGCATTTCTGTTATGGTATGATATTGTTGGTTTGTAATGGTTCTAGGATAACATATAGTTGAACAAAATATTGTTTAATAACTAGTCTGTTATGATTCTATGATAACATATAGTTGAACAAAATATTGCTTTAACAAAAGTATTGTTTTATAACTGGTCTGTTATGGATATTGCTTTAACAAAATGTTGCTTTATAAAAGCACGTGTTTTTGTCACTGATGACTATTGCTTTAACAAAATATGTTGCTTTATAGAAGCACGTGTTTTTGTCACTGATACAAAAGGGCAATATAATAGCATTTATTCTTGACACTGGTCCAAAAATGGCATTTGTTCTTTGTCACCAATACAACAAAGCCTAAATTGGTGTTCATTGAGACTAATATACAAAAGCCTAAATAAAGTGTTCACATGACACTGAGTTACAGAAACATGAAAAAGTGAAATTGGATCAAGTTGCTTCAATTTGAGTTGATGTTGGATGACTTGCTTCAGGGAGACTTGCTTCAGGTTGAGATGCTTCAGGCTGACTTAGACCAGACTAACTTGGTTCAGGTCGAGTGGTCTAACTTGGACCTGGATGTTTACAGGTTGCTTTGTTGCGCCCCATCATGTGACATCTACTGTACTTGACACCAAAATCACCTCATAATCGTACTCTCCTGCACGCCTATTAAATAGACAAGAACTTAGCCACACAACATAATCAACAAATATAAAACAAACATTTAAATGAACAAATACCTCATAATCCAGCAGTTTGTTTTTTCAGATTCTTTTACAATCTTTTTCTTGATATTAGGTAGAATATCACCTTCAAACTTGGTAATTTTCTGTCTGTTTGACTGCCATCTTTGCATGAGATATACTTTGATTTCTTCAATCATTGTTATGATTGGCTTGGAACTAGCTATCACAAAGACAGAGTTGAAAGCCTCTGACATGTTGTTCACCAGGGTATCACACAAATGATTGGTTTTGAGGAAAGCCTTGGTCCAAAACCTAGCTGGTAACTTTATTAAATGCTTGAATGCTTCTACATTAACAACCTTCATTTCCAACATTGCTTTTTCAAAAGCATTTGTATAACTGGCTGTAGCAGCTTTCCACATTAACTCCTTGAGTTTATTTCCTGAGAATTTCTTCCTAAAATTGTTTATAGATGTCTTCATTTGCAGACCAATTAATAAGTTTCAATAAGTATGCAGCAGCTCTTCATTTACAAATTAATTAATAAGTTTCAATAAGTATGCAACAATTCTTCATTTACATACCAATTATTAAGTTCCAAAAACATTCATTTATTAAGGTATATACCTGACACAAAATATTTGGTCCACTTGTGGTAGCAGTTCTTCTAGAGCTGGTAACAGCTCCTATATATAAGTATGCATCATTCATCAAATGGATCTAATCAATTCTAGAAATGAACAACATATTAAAGAAATTAATTAAGTACCTTTTGTTGGTCACTTATGAATGTGTATGTTTTGCACAACTTTGTACCTCCAAGATCAGATATAATTAAGCAATTCAAGAAACCAACTCCATGAATCTTTGGTTTCTCCTTCCACAACAGCAAATGCAATTGGCATCATCTGGTCATTTGGATCCCTTCCAATTGCAACAAGAATTTGTCCACCGTAGTAACCTTTCAAGAAGCAGCTATCCAATCCTATTATAGACCCGCACTTGAAAAAACTGTCCTTGCATGCCTTAAAATAGATATAGATCCTTTAAAAATGAGGGCTAAACTGAGATTCACGATTCTCAATGCTTTCTTCCCCACCTTGGTATGGTTGACTTGTAACTTTAACACTTCGAAGTAACTCCAAAAATTAGGCTCAACATACAACGTTTCATCTAAGCCATTATAACCTAGTTTTGTTAACTCAGCAAACTCACCCCCATGATGAACAATGCATTTAAAACGACTTTCCATGACCTAGATACAACAAATACATGAGATTGAAGGCTAACGTAGATGAAAAACCCTAAATGAGAAATAAAATAAACGAAGGGGAAGAATATAAAGTTTGCATCATTTGTACCTCAAAACAGATGATGGACATTGTTCCTCTTTCACGCAGTATCAAATATTACACAAACCCTAAAACGAAGAAGAATAAAAGTGTATGAACTAAACTAAAGATGAACAAGGTATCATAAATGAGGATGAACGAAAATGTATGATTACCATACCTTGACGAATGAATATGAAAGGTGATGATAACTACACAAACGAAGATGAAGATGGATGCTAATGCTTGCTTCGTAAGAGTTTCCAGCAAAGTGAGCTCAACTGAAGATGAAGTGAAGTCAAAATGAAATAAAATGGGTTAAAATGAAACTTTGAAAATTCATAGATATTTTAATCAAAATGTCAAACCATAAATTCATGTCATCTTAGGAAAGCCAGCTGGAATGCCACACTAGTAAAAACTAACGGAAATACACATATTTTAACAGAAAGGATGACATTGGCTAATGGAGTTACAATTAAAGGACCTGACACTAACGTTTATTACATAAGGGACCAAACTGAAAACTGAAATTAAGTTAAGAGACCAAAAAATGTATTAAGCCTACTTTTTAATGTTTATAAAATTTAGTCAAATATGCTTCTTCGATTTTAAAATATGTATTTCATACTGTCACTGTTATAGTTTTATAACTGTTTGTCTTTTATTTTAAACACATCTAAACTTTTTACACCAATAGTGGATATGGGGATGAATTGGTTTTCCATTTGTGTGTAACATGTTAGTTGGCGACCTTCTTATTGTATAGGATCTTTGTATGACTATGATGTTGTTAATTTTTTTTTATAGATCTCGAATCTCTTTTTAAGTTATTTATCCCTTTGTATGAGATTTTTGTTGAGATACAAATGTTTTGTTAGAAGCTCTACATTGTTTGAAAAAATAGAAGTTAAAATTTTTATAAATAAGAAGACTCATATATTTTAAATGACAAGAATAAGTTAGAAATAAAATTAACATTCAATTTAAAACACTTAAGTGACATATATTTTAAACGACGAGAATAATTTACATACATTGAAAGTTTTTTAGACACAAGAATTTCGTTATAAATTAAATGAAAATGATTTTTATTGATGATTAGTATATTATATGTAATTCTTCCAAGAGAAAAGTAAAAAATATAACCAAAAAATAACTAATTAAGAGGAACTGTAAGTTTGAATTTTATTATAAAAAAAATATGTTTTATATTAATTAATAGCCAATTTCATATGAAGATATCGATATGTATCGATCATATTTTGAAATTAGCATGTGACCCTTTTTTAAGGGCACCAAAAGGAAGGTACTTGTGGTACCAAAAAAATCTAAAACAATCTATAAACATATAAAAAGAAAATAAAATGTTCATCAAGCATATAAACAACCAAAACAAAACAACTCATAAACAAGCGCATGAAAGAAGTAAAATCTCTAAACTAATCCATTAAAAATAACCAAGAACTTAGCTCAACCAGCACACCACCAACTCTAAACCACACGACAAGAGAGAGTGATGCCCTTGAGACTCTAAAGGAGATAAGTGAGTATCACCTATTCTGAAACAAAAGGGACCATTCTCCTTTCAAATTCCCAAATCACACAACCATCGGCCTAATGAACAACCTTACTTACTTCTTCCATTTTCACGAAGAGTAACTTGGAAACGTTTGGGAAGAATAACTTTGGGGATTAGGGACCAACCCACATATCACTCCAAAATGAGGTAAGAGTACCTAAACCTTCCTTTTTGGAGACACCATCCATAAACAAATTTCTATGGACGTCTGATGGAGTGGAAAGCCAAGAGACATCTTATCACCTTAAGGATATCAATCTCATACCTTTTTTAGAACTAGAACCTTCTATAAGAATTTGGCGTCGCAAACCAGGTGAGTGGGTTATCACCCTCTCGTTGAGAATGTAATTCTTTGTGTCGAAATTTCTATGTGTCGAGTTGTGGTTAAATTTCAACACCTCTATCACTACTTCCTGAGCAAGGTCAAGTTAACCAGCTTAAGGTTGTGGACATACAACCAACCAAAATGCTTATATATACAAGCATTAGTTCACTTAATCCAAGAAATCTTAAATAAATCCTTGACCTCTCCATAAAGAAATTTTCTTTGAGTTTTAATGAGCTTTTTCCATACATTGACGTGAAACTTCAAGAAAGAGAACTAGAAGATCATGATAGAATTAATGATGGATTTAAGGAGGATACACACGACCATGCAAAATAACATATGAATTCATGGGTTCAATGTTTAGTAAATCAATTTATAAGAGACTCTCAGGTACGCAAAAAATAAAAAGAGGATTGTACCCACCAGAAGACCAATGTAAGTTATAATCTCATTGACAATTAAAAAAATCTTCAACCAAACATAAAAAATTCAACTCAACATTAGCAGCAATGAGGCAAATTTTGGAAAAATTAATACTCAAGCTTAAAACTAGCTAAAAAAACTCGAAGGATGGACTTAATAATCCAAAGATTCTACACCCAAACCTCTTCAAGGATCAAGGTACCATCTGCATACAAGAGATGATAAATCTCCAACGTCCCACTTTAAACTTAGATAACTCATCCAATTCTACGCTTACCTAACCAAATCAATAAGCCCATCCACCACTAGAAAGAAGAGAAAATGTGCCAACATGTCTCCTTGCTTAAGGCCTATTTGAATATTCATCCCTCGGGTGGGGCAACCTTTAACTAAAATAAAAGGATAGCTAGAGAATACACGCGCACACACACACACACACACACACACACACACACATAAATTGAAGTACTCCAACTAAGAGCGTCATAAGCCTTTTCAAAATAAAACTTAAAGATGAAACAATCCTTATTAGTTTTCTAGGCCAAAATTGAAAGGCTCATTAACCACCACCACATCATCAACCAAAAGCCGACCTTTAAGAAAAACCAACTAAATAGTAGAGATCAAATTATCCATCATATTTGCAAGCCTTGCTGCTAATACTTTAGTAACAAGTTTGTACTATGAACCAACTATAAAAATAGGTCGAAACTCCCCAAAATATGAAGGAGAGTCGACCTATGGGATAAAAGTAACTAAGTAAGAGTTAAATCTATAAGGAATGAAAGTGAGGCTATAGAATTGTTGAAACCTAATCCTTAAATTGGTTATAAGAATCTACGAGAACCTTTTGAAAAAGGAGAAGTTAAAACCATAAGGTCCTCGAGAACTAAAACTATAAAAGGAATAAAGTGATGTCTCCATAGAACTACACACGATGGGAAAAAAAACCTCCGTTTTTCCCAATTATTGAAACAAAACTCAAACTGCAGAATGTTATACCCCAAAGAAAATGAACCACATATTTAGAAACAGAACTAAGTTTGTCTTTTACAAAAAAAAACAAACGAAGCGAGTTTGAAGAGATAAACTCTCTCACCTTATTCTTCCTAATAAAGACACCTAAATTTCTTAGAGAAAAAATATTTATCATCCTAAGAAATAAACCTATCAATTTTCTCCTCGTGACTAGAATTAAAATATTATAAGGAACCAGATGAGAAGTAATAAACATAGACGAATGCTTTGGTTACTCTAGGAAGATAACACAAGGAGGGGATCGTTTCTCCATAAAAGGTCCAAACCCCAATATAACACCAATCCATCAAAAAAGGTGCATAAGAGGAAACATGGTCTTTTTTTAAGTAAAATCAATAACAGGACAAACTTGACCCACTCAAAAAGCTAAAGGGTGGAACCAACTTATTAGGCCCCTGACTAGATTTGATGGAGAAGTATTATCCCCACTCCTTTTAATTAACAACAAGACCACCTGAAGCATCGACCAGAAAAACATCTAAAAAAAGAAAAGGAGTTCACCAAGTCAAATAAGGGTGCAAGTAAGAAAAATAATAAGGGCTGGCTTACAAAAATAACTTGTAATTATATAATTTTATTGGGCCCTTAAGATGGGATAATCCATGAAAAGGAGTAAGGCTAGTCACAAATGGTGAAGGGTGAGCTACCCTAGAAAACCAAATGTTGTATGAATGAGCCATATGGTCGCCCAAAATAGGTTACGGGGCCACCTAGATTTAA